ATTCACACACTATGTTCACAGTGGTGTTATTCACAAAAGCTGAAAGATGGATGCAATCCAAGTGTCCACTGATGGATGAATGGATAAACAAAATGTGACATAGGCATACAATGGAATAGCATTCGGCCTTAAAAGGAAGGAAATTCTGACACCTGCTACAACATGGATGAATTTTGAGGACATTAGGCTAAGTGGAATAAGCCAGTCACAAAAAGACAAACACCACTGTATGATTCCACTTACAGAAGGCACCAAGAGAAGTCAAAATAATAAAGACAGAAAAAAGAATGGTAGTTGCTAGGGCTGGGGAAATGGAAAATGGTTAACAGGTACAGACTTTCAGTTTTGCAAGATGAAAAAGTCCTGGAGATGGATAGCAGTGTCACATAACAATGTGAATGTATTTAATGACTCTGCACTGTATACTTAAACATAATTATGATGCTAAATTTTATGTCATGTGTATTTTGCTATATTTAAAAATTAAAAGAGTAAATCCCTGGAGTCTGTGCCAGTCTCTCACCATATCCTCAGTGGCACCTGTCTCCCTGTCCTCACATACATAGCCAATGTCCCTGGTATTACAGGATTGATTGTTTAGTTAATTTCCTTGTGAATGAAGAAGATACAAGATGGTATCTTCCACTAGATTGTAGAAGCTGGTGGGTAAAGACAGTCCCAGGGCTCTGCCTAGCAGGTTGTTTCCACTGGTAATCGTTCTTTGTGTCAGGATGTCTTGCCTTTTTTTTTTTTTTTTGTAGTACTGAGGTTTGAACTCAGGGCCTTCACCATGAGCCACTCCACCAGTCATTTTTTGTGATGGGTTTTTTTGAGATAGGGTCTTGAGGGACTGTTTCCTTGGGCTGGCTTTGAACCACCATCCTCCTGATCTCTGCTAGGAATCCTCCTGAGTAGTTAGGATTACAGACTTAAGCCACCAGTGCCCGGCCTGTCTTGCCTTTTATATGTTACTTAAAACTTTCAATTGAAACTTACTTCTCTTTTTGCCTTAGGAGGACACAAAGAGCTGCTGGCGACAGTCTTCTAGGGAAGAAGTCTTCCATAGACTCAGGCACCATTGTTAATACCTGGCTTCTCTAACTCACAGAGCAACCTACTTACTACATTGTCCAGCCTAAAACTGCAGCATCACTCTCACTGTGGACTTGAGTTTGTGTCCTTCTTGCACTTTTGTCTGTGTCTAAATGGACTCCAAGATGCTTCTTAAGGAGAACTCTGGCCTTGCCCATGCATTTCCATGGCAGCAGGTGACCTTCTATTCAGGCCTGTGTCCTTATCAGGCTCTTCAGAGCAACCTGAGATGACAACCTAGTTTGGCTGAGCCATAGCACATATGACTGTCCTTTATAGGGTACAGGTGTTCTCCAAGCACTTGACTCAGAATAGGAAGGCAAACTCACTGCCCCTCACTAGCTTCTCAAAACTTGGAAACAAACTTTGGGGGAGGTGGTTATCTGAAGGTGTGCTCTTGCCTCTGAGATTCAGCAAAGCCACTAGGAGCTGCAGGTGAGGCTCGCCTTTGCCCAGGCTCCCTCCATGTGTCTGTTTTTCTGAAGTGCACCTGACTGTCTCACCTGGCCTGCACTGTGGGCTCCATATGAAAAAGAGCCTTGTGAGCCTCAGGTGTAGTGAGTCTAGAAGTGTGGCTGAAGATGGGTGTTGACACCACTGTGCACGTGGGAAAAGGAAGGACTTTGCTTCCAGGACTCAGAAACAGGGACATGTGTGCATCTAAAACATGGCTGTCTTTTCTCTCATGGACTCTGCATCACATTGTTGCCGATTTTCCATTTTGATTTTGCTTCCAAGTCAAATTTAAGGCCTATTTTTGGGAACAACACTGTCTAAAAGAACTTTCTGCAGGGATGGAAATTTCCTGTATCTTCACTGTTCAATATGGCAGCCACCAGCCACATGTGGCTACTGAGCACTTAAAAGGTGTTCAGTGTGATTAAGGAATAGCATTGGAAAATTAATTTTCATTGGTCACATGTGGCTAAGTGGCTACTACTGAACAGCACCGCTCTAGAAAGGACATAGGAAATGACATGCATTTTGGATGTCACACTTGGTAAACTTTCTAGCAGTTATTTGCTCTCTACTTCAAAGTCTTCTGTATCTAATTGTTTTTATTACTCTTCTTGAGAAGTTTATATTTTTATGTGCCATCTTAAGTCTTTAAAAATGTGAGATGTACTTACAAATATAAAAAAGGAGATGATAACATAGCTGTATTCCTAACCGTTTTTTTTGACTACCTATCTCTCATCCCTCCTTTCTGTACCACAGAGGGCAATAAGATGATCTTTGAAGGGAAGGGAGGCTGTGGCGGGGGGAATGGTCTTTTTGTCTGCTTCTGTCTCTGTTCTGTTTCTTTAGTTGAGTGCTGCTTATACAAATGTTCAAACTGTGAAAATTTATTGAGCTGCATGTTTTAAGACTCATGCACTTCTCTGTAAATATACTATTTATAGTCTCCTCCAATAAAAAGTAAACAAGACATATAAAGAGAACATATTGTGTTCAAAGTACAGCATCAGTTTAGTTTTGTGGGTTGTGGAAAGACTCCACAAAGTTGTAGCTCAGTATCATGAAGCATCAATGCAAATTTCTAAGATGTGTGTCTCAGAGGAACGTGGAGCCACTCCTGATGTCACTGACTCTCCACTGGCCTCCCACCTTCTCCCCTAGCCCTCCACCAAGCAAGGCCAAGAAGGAAGGAGAGATGGATTTCAGGAGCAGAATGTTTTTCTTCCCATCCTATCAGATCTTACTAAAATATCCTAATTCTTCTGAGGGGACAAATCTCTTCCAGAAAAAAACATGTCAGCTTTTCTCCTCCAGAAGAATTAAATGGGGAGGAGGAGGTTTCTGATATATGGAATGTGAAGTCAATAGGGCAGAGTGAGAAAGTCAAAGGCAATCCGTATTTTAACAAAGTGACTACAACTTACTCAATCAAGGCTTTCTTCCGTGTATAACTGCATCTGACCCAACAAAGAACCTATCCTATGAATTATAGTTGAAAATGGACTTAGGGAACAGACAGACAGTGCTACAGAAAATGTGGATAAAAAGGCATTCTCTCCACTGCCTCTCTCCTGTGACCTGAATATCTTAATTTTGTTGAAGACTGAAATATAAATTTTACTTTAAAAAAGAATTTAGAGAGATGGACAGGTGTCTTATCTCACAGCAGACAACTGCAGTGATGCAGAGGAACAGGGACCTGTTCAAATGGCTCTCATCAAGAATTGTGAGGTCCTAGCTGCCATGTCTGTCATTTAACCTAACAAACAACTACACATCATTGCTTTGGACAAAGACTTGCATTCCTGAGTCTTGAGAAACAGATCTTTTTTCTTACTTTTTCATGGATCTCCCTAACTTTTAAAGCTGCTATAGACTTTAAAACCATTTAAATGCATGGATCGTCTTTGAAATATTCTTTAAATATTTCCTTTGAGCAGAGCCCAGGCCAACCCTTTGTTCTTTCATTTGTGTTGTTAAAAGAATCAAGAGGAAAAAAAAGTCCTCTCATTATTACAAAATGGGAGAAATCACTTCGAAATAATCACATTCATTTTGGTCATTTGGCATAAACAGAATCCTTTGCATTTCATTAACTTCGACTTGCTGTAACTGTATTATTTTTTGCATAAAGAATTGGCAGCATTCAGACGCAGAAGAAAAATTTTCTCACATTTCAAAGCGGGTTATAGAGCAAATGCTAGCATTCAAATGCTAGCTAGTTTATTTAGTAGCAAAGCAACATTACTTAGCTTCTTCAAGAGGAAGTCTGAAAATTGTCTAGTTCCTACAAATAACAGATACTTCAAGGTGACCCTGCCTACTTGAGCAATGTGCTCTGAGTGTACTTTGGATCAGTTAGCTGACATATACCAAATTCTCATTTCATTTCATGACATGGGGATTATAGTTCTGGTGTTCAAAGCCCAAGCCAACAAAAAGGGTGAAATTTACCTGTGATTCCAAAAACCACAACGAGCAACTTTGGGAACAATATCCCCCAACTGGGTATTTGCTCTTTCTTTTCAGGTAGCCAAATGTGAAAACTGGGATGCCAGAGACTGAGGCTTTTTAGAAAAAAACCCAAAGCTCTACCCACCTGAATGGATTTTACCAGTTAATTCAAGAAGGCCTGATTTGGAAAGCTGTGATCAGGTAAGGACAGGTGCAGAGGGTTCTTTAAACTCCACCTGAATTTTAAATTCTAGAGTATACTCAATTGTCTGTCTGGAGTTTGGAGCACATCAGGAAAGGATGCAGGAGAAAGGGGGCCCGTAATGCTGCCAAGGTGTTAGCTGAGGAAGGACAGGCCAAGGCTACTATCCTTAAGACATACTCCCTCCAACTGTGCCATCTAAATTGTGAGAAGCAGGCAATGGAGTGTGCTAACAGATTGAGGCCAAAAAAGAAAAAAAAATGTACTTACTTTTCCTTCCCCAGCTGAGTGAGTCCAGAGTGCCACAGGCATCACCTAGTCCTTCTAACGTTTATGAGAAAGTCATTTTCCAAGGGACCACAGAATCTTAACCTCCTGCAGTAGGGAGGGTGGGCCAGTAAAAAGGTAGGGAAGCACGGAGGGAAGGGAAGAGATACCTTCTCTATGGACTGTCAGGTATTCCACAGCTTTCAAACAGACTGGCTCCCCCAAGGAGCCAAGGAGGTTTACTGGATTCTTAATCAGGGTGTGACCAAGAAGGTGTCCAGAAGAACTGACAGTAGGTTTGCTGAGGTAGATCAGCAAAATGAGAAGACCCCAGCGGGAAGTCTTCTTCCCTCCCCTTTTGTTTGCATGGAGTATGGGGCCATCTTGACCTGGTCTAGGATGATCAGGGTCATTGATCTCTGCTTTTCCTCAACTCATAGCTTTGGAACAGGTGGGAGGTCTCTGATAGAACTGACCCACTTGCTTTGCCCTCCCCACAGATAGACAGACAGACGTCCCCAGGTACCTGCAGAAGGATCTTGTTTCCATCATGGTCCTCCGTCTGCCAGCGCCCCTCACTGATGGGGCTGCACGGGTTAGGCAGGAGCGGCACCAACTCCCCAATGTCCTTTACCCGAAACTCCAACAAGGAGGAGTCTGTGGGCACCGGGCTCTGGTCACAGGGTAGTCTTTTCAGGGAGAACTGGATATCCACGTCCAGATTGGAGAAAATGGGGAAGATGCAGAAGTCCGCCTTCCTCTGGCTGGGGCTCCGGCCCAGGATGAGCTCGTAGAACTGGAGGCTGTCGGCGTAACTGTCGTGGCGACAGTAGATGGTGAAGCGCACGATCTCCTTGCCATAGTGCACCGGCCGGATGGCCCACAGCGGCGTCCCCGGAGCCAGCGTGAAGAAGTCCTGGCTGCAGGGCATGTAGGGCACGAAGCGACCATGCACGCGCTCCGTGTGGTGGTGGCGCCAGGGGGGCCTCTGCAGCGTGCGGTGCAGCTGCAGGATCTGCTCCTCGCCATATTCTTCCTGAAGGAACAGCACCACGGCCAGCGCCGGCTGCGCGCCCTTGGGGGGCTTCCGCCGCCGCCGGCCCACCCGCCGCTCAGACACCCGGAACAGCGGGAGGTCCGGGTGGATCCACGCCAAGACTTTGTCGATGGCCTCCTGCAGTGGCCGGGACTCCCCTGGGTCTGCGATGATGTGGATGCTCACCAGGAAAGGGTCCTGCGCCTCTTCCACGGAGAGCTCACCTGGGTGCAGACGCGAATGAAAGAGTGGATGGATCGATGGATGGACGGATGGGTAGATAGTTGTATGTATGAATGTATGTATATATGGATGGATGGATGGACAGATGAATGCATAGATGGATAGATGGATGGATGAATGAATGAGTGAATGAATGAATGAAGTTACAATTATTCCATTAAAAGGAACAGTGATGACATGTACTGCCTTGGCAGGAAAAGAAGTCAAATTCTAACGGAACTGAATCCATGATCCATTATTTTCTGAACCCAAGTTCACGTGCAAAAACTACAAAGAGCATCATCCTAGTAACCAAAGAGGAAAGGGCTATTGCCAGGGATGCCTTCCACTCTGGGCAGTGTTAGGAGGCCTTGGTTCTGTACTTGATCAGGTTGTGTTGTACATTCTATTAGACAACAGAAAGTCAAGTCTACTGACTCAGAGGGGTAACAGGCCCATGAGAGAAGGGCTGCAGCATGTCCTGCAGACTATGTAGGATTTCCTCAAATACCCACAGAGCCTTACCCCATCCACAACCTCTACACTATCAGCACTTTTTTGGCTTGCCTATTTCATTGGTTTATTTTGTTCATTAATTTAACAGACAATTAGGGGCCCTTTCTTCTATGCCTGTCCTTGAGTGAGGCATGGGGCACACAGAAGAGGACAAAGGAGACATGTGCTTGCCTCCTGCAGCTTGCTCTAGTTGACAGATGAGGCATCTTGCTCAGGGTTCATTCCTAGTGGCAGGGTCCTGGGGCCTTGGTGCTGGAGACACAAACATTCTAGGGAACAAGTGTAGCATTCTCGCTGTCTGTTGGAGCTTACTGGGTACATGGTTTGGGTGGGGAAAGTGTGGGAGACCCAACTGCCTAGGTGAGCCTGCCTTTGGGGCCTCTTGCTAGGCCATGTCCACCCAGAGCCCCACACACCATGAGTGGCTTGGTTACCCTCCCTATGTTCTCTGGCCGAACACCTGGAAGCACCCAATGTCAAGAGTGAAGGCGAATGTTAACTTGGAAATGCTTTCTCGTGGCCACAGTGACATATTTCTAACTCAGATAACTATGTAATGCTCTGTTTGCCTTTAGATAAATTGTATGATGGATATAAGGGTAGTCAGGATATGTTTAGGTCAAGTGTGATGGGGAGGCTGACTCATCTGTAATCTAGGCCTGTCTTCACACATTTGCCTCATGATGTCCACTAGGGGTGTTGGGCACAATGTGACCAGTGGTATTTTGTATAACACAGTGTCCGTTTCTTCAACCACTAATGCCCCGCCCCCCGCCATTGAGAACATCTGAGAAGTGTGACGGGTTTTTAGGAGCTGCACCTCAATTAGTTCACAGGATAAAAGGGTATTTTTTGTGGTACCTGCAATCATGTGGCTTTAATTTTGTTGGATCAAAATTTATCTTAATTTTCATCCTAACTTGGGTATCTCACTTGAAAATAGTTTGTTGTTTCCTTCTCTGTCATTCACTCATTCATCCATACATTTCTTGAGCAATCAATATGTATGTCACTTAGGGAGACAGGATGGTGGCACCATTGAGGATTACAGGAACCTGTTCATGTAAACTGTGGCACGAACACTGGTCCCTCAGGTTGTGTACAACCTGCACAACCACAGACAGCAGCCTTTCAAAGAACCACAAGCCACAGATGAGAACTTATGATTTAGGTGGGAAATACAGACATAAAGACTTAAAAATGCCATCTGAAATATACCTATAAGGAATGCAATTGAATAGCACCTTGGGGTGAGGGTCAAATTCTAATGTCAGACTCAGAAAGACAAATACCACATGTTTTCTCTCATGTGGAATCTAAATCTAAAGAAAAAAGTGGAGAGGAACATAAATGGCGGTGCTACTTGGAGCTGTGAGGGGGAGTGAAGTACATTGCATGCATGTATGAAAAGATCATGACACATTTTATTTATTTTATTTTCAAATTTTTTATCAGCATAAATTAATTGTACAAAGGGGTTTCATTACGATATTTACAATGTGCATATAATGTACTTTGATCAAATTCGCCTCATTTTTAACAGACTTTGGAGAATTTCATTGTGTTATTTTCATAACAATATATAATGTATTTCTAAAATATTACCCCCAAAAAACTTATTTAAACAATTGCAACAAAGATAAAAAGGAGGTGGGGGAAGAGGAATAAGAAAGAGTAATATTATATGCACGTATGAAAATATCACAATGAAATCCCCTCACATTGTACAATTAGTATGCACTTAATACAAAAAATTCTGTCAATATGTGGTGAGGATCACCTATAGCCAATTATCACTGAACTTTGCATAAAGTACCAGATGGTAGTGGCCCACAAGACAACCCAGTCAGATATGCAGATGTTCCTTTGGTTGAAGTTCAACACCAGATGTGACAGCCGGCTTGCTGTAGGGCCATATCTGCCTCTCTAGCCACTAGACTCCCACTCAGCAAAGCAAGCCCTTTCCCCTACAAGAGGCTTTTGGGAGCCAAGAGGTTTCTGGAACATAAGGACGACTAAAGTAGTCTGAGCTTTCCCATGGTCAAGGAGAAGATTGCCAGATGGAATTATTTCACCTGTCCTTACTCTCTCCTTCCCTTCCTGCGATTGAGCATGTATTCTCAAGTTCAAAAGCATTAAATATGAGCACCATGCAATTCTCACTTACTACCACGGGACAAAGGAAGGAACAACTCTTCTCCTAGACACTTCTGTCAAGGCTTTCTGGAGGAGGCACTATGTGACCTTGCAGGTCAATGGCATCTCACTTAGCAGTTCCTCAAATGTGGGAGAGATTACTGTAGGAAGAGGGAAACTGTTTATGAGGCATAGAGCTGTGCAAAACACAAGCACATTTGGGAGAGAGCAGTGAGCAATTCTGAAGCACAGCAACAGAAGAGAAATAGATGAGGCATGGAACCACAGGCTGTTTAGAGGCATGTGTGTCGGTTCTTGGAGCCCATCGCTGTGGGGAGAAGGAGAAGGAGAGAAAAAGTAGATGAGTGTACTTTGACGTTGCTCGTCCAATGTGATGTTTAACTAAGACAGGAGAGAGGGGCAGCTTTGTGGGGAAAGATAAGGAGCTCCACTTTGGCCACGGTGGCGGGGGGTGGTGGTGGTGGTGGGAGGGGGGGCGGGATTGAGATATGCAAATGACTTCCAGGAAGGCTGTCCTTCTCAATTGCACTTTTCTGTTGCTGAGATGCTGAGTGAATTTAAGGGTAGACCTGTTACTTTTAGACCATATTACTGCATTTATGCAGTTGTCCCTGCATATGCAAAACTGTGCACAATGGCTTACAGAACAATCAGAACTCAGGGATTTTCTGGCCCTTTTCTTTGCCCGCTCTTTCTGCCTGCCTGGTTTCTTCCCATTTCACTGAAAGTTAAAATCATCACCAGTAGAAATGCAGCTGAAGAAAGGTAGCCAAGAGGCAAACCAGCCTACGTTCTCCCATCAGCAACTCCAGTAAAGAAGACTCTGCAATCAATAAACACATTTTCCCCTCTTCCAGGGTGCCCTGAACTCCTAACAGTGGAGACATGTGACTTTGCTAAACACCAATGAACACCTGGTATAAACAGAAGTGGACAGAAAAGCTTTGAACAACATGAGAATGAAGAAATTTACTAGAGAAAATGGCAGATGATTTTTGTGAGGGAAAAGATGCAAAGAATAGAAGTGTTCAAAGGAGAAGCTGTCAGATTCCACCCACAGGGTGTGCAAGCAACCAGGGTGCCAGAGTGACATGTTAGCTAACATGCATCCTTTCTGAGTTCTACCAGTATGAGCTCATTTAATGCTTGCAAAAACCCTACAAAGGGGTGCTTGTATTGTCCCTATTTTAGAAAGCAGGAAACTGAGGCACAGAGAGGCCAAGTCACCTGCCATGAGCACACAGGGTAAGAGGCTGAGTACTCTCTCCAGCATGGAAGTCTGCATAGACCATTGCCCCATCTTCTCCGCTGTGCCTGTTTCCCAGCAAGAAGATGGGCTGCCCCCTCTCCATGTCTGTCCACACTGCTATCACCTTGCCTGTCTCCATGGCTCTCCTGCCTCCTTGTGCTTGTTGCCTTCCTGGCCATCAGCCAATAGCTTCATGTCTTAGGCACCCATTTACATCTCATTCCTCTGGCCCTGGGTATCCAAGGAAGAATCCACCAGAGGCTGATTCTCTCTGTTGGCATACATTCAAGTCTTTATATCTTAACCCTGCCCTGGAGGGCAACTCAAACAGGCTGACACCACAGGTGGGTGCACTGGTGAAAGAAAGGCAGAACAGTGACCCAAGAACACCTGTGGGCAGGCAGGAAAGACCTGAGTGCGAAGGGGTGTGGGGTCATCCATGTCTCTGAAACAGAGTTGTCAGGGTGCTCAGCCTTGTGCCACCTCAAGTAGTCGCACAAAGATTTCCCAAAGAGCAGAACAAAAGCCAAGCTGGAGCCTGCATGGATGAGTGAGTGTTTACAGCTCTGCAAAGGGCAAGCTGCCCAGCTGGGAGCAGGGGCTGAGCTGAAAGGCATTCCACCAGGCTCCAGTGTGCTCAGCAGCTCTGGATGCAGCCAAGAGCAAACAGGCCAGGCAGACAAGGCCCAGCCCCCAGCATGGCCTTGGCACTGCATGAATTGGGGAGCTGAAAGTGACAAAAATCCTGCTCAGGAACAGCTAAGGAGACTGGGCAGTGGCATCAGTATGCTCTGGTCATCGCCAGCACATATCCCCTGCATATGACCCTGAAACACACAGACTCAAAAAGTCACAGAAATACAGCTCCGAATTGTCATTGGCTGCTAGGGTTACACACGCCCCAGGGAATCCACCTCGGTGGCACTGCATAGGGAACCAAGTATTTGAGGGGAAGGAGAGAAAATGTGAATAATTAATTGTCATGAAAAGCCTCTAGGCCTCCCCAGAGAAGCGGAGACAACAGTCCGTGGGTCAGGCTCTTCCTTTATCATATCTATTACCCCGTCTTCTCCAAGGGCC